ATGGAAAAAAGGTTCTAAAACCAAAAATTAGGGCTGCTGGTAACAGTAACTGAGGAGGACAAGTCTAAACTGCCTCTGGAGGAGGGACCTTTCTGACCAGCCCTGGATACACCTACCAAAAGCAGCTGAGACACACGTAGGGCAATGGCTTGTGGTGCTATGGCTCAGCCAGGCAACCAGGTGCCCACAAACTGCTGTCCGTGCTGCTAGTCCAGTGTTGCCCCCTGGAGACAGAGATTTTAAAAAAAGCCCTTTCCCACAAAGAAATTAACACAAGGCGTATCTATTCAGAACAACATACCTAAAAATAGCATGAATAGTAAGTGAAATGTTTATAAAATCTCAATTTGTTTATTTCTTTATTACAACATAAATTCTTCTCAAATAACAGACGGATTTAACAGTGTTCGGTTTGCCATATATTAGACTCAAAATTATGTATTTTTAAAAAAATGTCTTGGTATATAATACAAGGAAAATCCCAACAGAACTCACAAAGCCACTGTAGTTCCCAAGTGCAGGGGCTAAGGTTGTAATGAATCATATAGGAAACTTGTCATTGCAGGTAGAAGAAAAACTACATGAATTGGTTAGGGTTTTAATCAGAAACCTTAGGGTTTTTTTTTCCTTTAAAATAGATGCATTATACCAAAAAAAAAAAACCCAACCAAAAAAAAAGAAGAAACCATCACTACAAAGAGGCACGTGGTGTTTAGTTGATGGCATTAATTCTGTAACCCAAACAAGGAAACTAATCCACTTTGAGTAGCTACATTATTTTTTGCACTATTTACATACTTTACTGAAGTATTTTCATCCCAGAGCCTCAGCAAGCATCTTAGAATACTAATGAGCGAAGCCTGGCAGCACTCCAGTGTTAGCAAATAAGAAAGTAACACCATTCCCACTTTAGCAACAGGGAAACTGAGGCACTGGGATTATTCGGATCCAGGTAATTGCAGAAAGAAAATTCCTGGATCTTGATCCTCTTAGACAGGTCTTGATAGAGAGACCAGTCTTCCTCCTTGTTAGATGGCTGGTGACTGTGCTGCACACTGTTTGAAACCTGGTCAGTTTTTTTCATGTTTAAATTGTGGCAAAATAGGCGACATCTATCCAGCTATAGTGTCATTATGATCACCTTTACTTAAAAAAAGCCATCAATGGTTTTCCTTTTTAGATCAAAAAGTGACAACTGCAAGAAGTGCATCTTCAATCCCTGCAAAGACCTGTGGAAGGTGTCTGTCTCGTTATACCCAAAATACTGCAATCATTCCCTTGATCCGTGCAAAGGTAAATACTGAAAACCAGTAGCTTTGAAAGACAGAATTGCATTATTTATTTAAAAAAAAAAAAAGTAAGAGCTACAGCACAAGAATATGAAATGAAAATACCGCTTTAAAGATAAAACGTCTATACGGATTGAGTAACTATGCTCACAGAAGCTGTAATATAAATTTTCAGGCATTGGGAACGTTCCTTCGTCAATCAAGTATGTGAAATAAGTTAGCTGCAAGACTCTCAGCTAGGATGTGGCCTTTATAGACCAACATAAAATGTTTCACGTGGTCCATAATCACAAGGATTTTACTTCCCGTGACAGCAAAATATCATACCACATCAACAAGGTTACTTGAGAAGACCTTTAAAAATAACTCAGCAATAATGTTTGCTGAGTGACTAAAAGGGAAATAAAAACATGTTGCAGATCTGAGATGAAATGAATTTGCAAGTGAAAAAGCTAAAAAGCCAATACTTGAACTTGGGATAGAAGCACCCAGCATAAATCCAGCTATTTTAAGGCCATTAAGGAGTGAGCATAATTTATTCGCAGGCTTCTGACTGTTTATATTTTGGCAACTAAAACATCTTAAAGTGGGAATAAAAAGTCACGGACTGCTGCTGTCTCACAGCAGTGAGGAGCAGACCAGGTAGCCGGAACCGGACTGCTGGGAGCGTAGGTGACCCAGTGCCCTGGGGCAGGACATACCCAGCGTGGTCCGTTGTGTCCCAGTGACAGACTCTGGCCAGTTGCGTGGAAGTTGCTTGCTCAGAAGAAGCTCCTCCAAATTCCCTATTGGAAAGAGACTTGATGCATGCTACAGCATTATTAGCAGTGCAGTAAAATATGCACATAGCGCTTCACTTTCTTTAGGGAAGCAGATGGACATAAATTATATATGTACGCATGTTTTATAATGCCATCTCAAGTACCTAACAACTGGTTCAGAAAACAGAGTATCAAAATCTCATGTGCTTGTCCTTCTATGGTTACGGTGGGGAACTCTGCCTCAGCATCTGGGCTGGCTGACAAATTGGTCCCATCAATCTCTCCTTGTGGTCTTGACCTAGAAGAGGCAATCCACACTCTGCAGTGCAACCACAAATACTGCACAGTAATTCAAGCAGTTTTTATTGTTTTCAGCCCCATAACACTGCTGGAATATTCCTCATTTCTTGTCCTTGATTACTACTGGCACCTACCAATGAATCCCAACACACGGCTTCCTTGCTGGCCAAGGAAAGACTGCACTATTGCTCTATTTAGGAATGTGCCTTGGAAGCAGTGCTGGCTCTGGAAGCGTTTGGGAACTTCCCTCCTATGATTTGACAGAGCTCACCTACATCCCAGGAAGCTTACAGCAATTCCTCAGTCCCACTCCATTTAGGAGCTTCCAAAAACCTGGGATATCTGAGTTTGGGATGGGTGCTCAGATTGCAGAAAAGCCTCAAATACCAACAGGCAAAGCTGCACCAGTTTGAACACAAACAGATCTGCCTGGGGGGCTCCAGAGAGCCCCCAGTTAAATGAGGTCAGTCATCACCCACACAGACTGTGGAGAGACACTTCTCTTCCCCGGCCCGAGACAGTCTCTGTGGCAATGCAGTCCTCTCTCATGTCCCAAATGTCTCACCTGTGGTCTGCCAGATTATGCATTTCCCCTGTACCACATGACGGAGGAGGACATAGAGGCTAAACATATAAATAGCTCTTAAAATAATGCAAATAAATATCCAGACGTAAGCTGCTTTAGGTTATCTACCACCACCTCCCATTTTCCCACAGTACATTCTGGTTCAGACAAGGCAGGAGGCATTTGAATGCTACTAGGAAAAAAGTCAAGGCTGAAGCTTCAGGAGAGTTATCGACACAGGCCCAGGCTGATGAGTATAGACTGCCATGTATAAATACAGAACCACACACACAAATTATATATATTAGTTTTATCTATATTTATATATATGTATAAATTAAGTATACGTGTGTGTATACATAGACACACATGGATGAATCTCAGTAGTCCCTCTGTTGAGAAATCTAATAAAAATCTCTGAAAATATACATCAATTATTTGGATATTCCTAAGTATAAGCAATGTATTCAGATTGGGGTTTTCATAAATATGCATTAAAATTCTCCATGATAATCACCATTCCCACCTTGTGGGAATAACAACATAGTTGCATAAGTTGTGAATTATAAATACAGGCTTTAAAAACTCTTTGAAGAACAGGTATAGCCAGTATAAGGTAAATTCCAGGACAAACAGAAGTGATCAGAACAGAAAACCAGACTTGAGCACACGGCTCCAAAACATCTGTATTGCCGTAACACATGCAAGCGCACAGGACCTCTCCAGTCCTGCCTGTCCCCCTAAAGTCCCTTTTAAAAGCTTTTTGTAATTCTGACGGGGGTTAAGATTGAAACAATTTCATCAGGCTTAACAAAGGCAGAGAAGAATATTTTTGATAACAGATACAGTACAAGAAAAAGGTCACATTGCAAAATCCAAGAAAACCCCTCAAATCTGGGGACAGTGTGTTATATATTTCCTCCCTAAGAAATTGGGGCAATCTTTTTCAGCCCATCTGCATAACATTTTTCCCCATTCAGGGTTTCTAAATGTGATCCTCCAATGACTTTTTATAAAAATACAGTGTAAGCCAATATGCGCAACACCGTATTTTGTTTCAGTTAGACTAAAACCAAGAATGACACAATTGCATTTTTAACTAAAAGAAGATTTGCAACTATAAACACGAGGATGGGTGACATGTTTTGAAGTATCAGTTAACATCCCATCTTTTCCTGTGGACATTCACATTCCTATTATAACATGATGAATTGCCTCAGCAGTACTGTGTACTACTCTCCCCAGATCAGAGCAGGTGTGCTAGCAGCAATGGAAGATTTGGCACAGCCAAAGCCTGAGAAAATTCAGGGTAGAAATGTGTCACTGGTGTAGAGGCTGCATATCCAGGCTTGCAAGAACGACAAAATTTAGGAAGAGTATTAACTTACGCTTTTATGTTACAGTACACCCTGTCTTATATTTTCTTTTCCCATCTGTGACTACTTAGATCTTAATCCTGTACTGTTTCAAGTACCTTCAAGGTCCTCCTCAGGCTTCTCTCTTGGTTCAAACTGTTAGTTTTCAATGAACCAGACAGAGCAACAGTCTGATTTCAAGAAACTCTTAGAGCTTTAAAGTCAGCAGATAGCTACACACAGGAAATGGGGGGGGGGGGGGAACAAAAATACACCACAGAGGAGTTCCAGGATTCTAGCAGGGACCTACACAATATCAGGAGTTTCATAAAGAAAGCATTTCATTTTTCTTTCATGCAAACTGCATTGTACATGACAGAAGGCAGTGCATGAACCACAAAGTGCCCTCTTCATGTGACATTATAAATGTACTGTGAACCCTGCACCGCCCATTAACTTTGTCTCCAGACCAATTCTCCAGAAAAAGTCTAATCCCATTAAACTTCCTGAATAAACTTGTATTTTACAGAATAGAAAATTAAGGCAAAGTTTCACATGTCCACACACTGGTGGTACAGAAAAGTAACCGAGTCCTCATGTCTTAAGCACAAAAAACAACTGATGAAAGAAAGCATGGTCCAGATGATAAAGTGCAATTATTATTTCAGTTGTGCCAAAAAGGTTTCCAATTCTGTAGTTTTACGTCTCGGTGATTTTATTCAACTTTTAATTATAATGTTTTTTTGCTTCTGTCCCCATCTTTCCAGTACTGTTCAGTTTGCATTTCTGTAAGCCGTGAGACAGTACGCTGAAAGGCAAAGATTTCCTCTTCTCCTGTAAACATGGAGAGTCCTTTGGCAGAATCCTACATTAATACACAAAAACAGTACCACAAAACTGTGAGATGCATAGTTGTACTGAAGTGCATCCTACCTAAATCCTAAGGCTGAGTGCTTTACAGCCTTTGACAATACACGACAGCAGAATGGCACCAAAACCCTAAAATTAACGTCCAAAAATTAAAGAAAAACAGCTAGGTAATCCTGTGAAGGAACATAGCAAAACAATAATTTGGATTTAAAACATGATGACATGTTAACCATCTATTTTCACTTTCCTGTTGACTAATTGTATACTGATTTAGACAAATCGTTTAAAAATTCATTAATAATAACTACGTTATAGGGAAAAGGAAAAACAGAATAAGCGGCATGCAAAATAGCATTGTTTGTGAGGATTTGTGAGGCAGTCCTGTACAGTGAAGGAAGAGGTAGAACAGACCACCTTTTATTTCTGTATTTTAAATGTAGGAGCTAAACTTAAATCAGTATTTTCATATGTGATTGAACAGATATAATGATTAACAATCAAAATGACCCTAAAACTTAAGCAAAATGATTCTATATATTGTGACATTTTCTTTGACTATGAATAAATAACACAACATGCAATTATGAGAGCGACAGATACACTGCAGAAAAAGCAGCAAATCACTAGTTAAATGTTTACTTGATTCCTCTTCCTAAAACGCTGCTGTAATTATGAGACCAAAACCAATTTTGTTACAAAAGGGAGACGATGTTAATATCATGTACCTGGCTCAAGTCCAAATCATCCATCAACACTCTGTTGTCCTCTAGCTCACCATTGTCATGTTCTACCAGGAACAAGCTTTGGAGAGGAGTCACTGCAGAACAAATAATACGCACCTGAGAGAAGGGAAACAGGCAACAGTATCATCACTTGGGCTTTGCAGAAAAGGGATAAAATACATGTTTTATGAAAAGCTAACTTCAGATTACGACTTTGGGTTTTTTTCCCAGGTATTTTCCCTTTCTCTTACTAGCACTGCTGTTACAGATTTACCTGACTTAGTCATTTGGGATACTAACCTTACAGGATCCTTTTCTCAATAGCAACTCATATAACTTTTACTCAGGAGAACAGCATAACTGCTATTAAATACTTGGAATATCTGCTGTACAGGCAATGAGTTCACAATCAAGTTTACTTTCTGAAATAAAAGCTATAAAGTATTAGTAATCAATGCTTTTTTTCCCCCCATAGTTAGATTCCTCTGAGTGGGTAAGTGCATCACACACATATTTCCATCTAAAGAATGTTTAAATTCCAAATTTCCCAGAAGGTCGAGTTGAGCCACTCTTGCTTTCACCTACGCTACTCAAGTGCACATTATTTGCTAATAAAAACAATGATGCCGCTTTCATGTCTGCTGGGAGGGGATACAATGTGCAGTGAGATACAGTATCTCTGGGGTGCTGCAATGGAGACAGACTGAAATATTATTACAGAAGGAGACACTTGTTGAGACCACACAGGCAAAATGTTTGCTTTGCGGACAGGTCTTCACAAATACGCTCCCTTGGGTAGTTTTTCCAAACAACTACTCGCGATGGGAATTTAACACTTGTGGTTTTCCTATGCAGGAAGTAATAGAAAGTAGCTGTTTCCTTGCAATTCTTAATAACAGCACATAGACAGAGCAAATCACATCCTCCCACCCCCATCTCTAACACACTATTATTAGTTTATAAATATCAATATATCCTCTGAGAAACTGTCCATTTCCAAATCATAAAGCACAAAGAATCTGTCTGACTTGAATGAGACTACTCTTACACTTAGTTCAACACCTTGCTGAATCAGTGCCTTTCTGATCATCTTGCCAGGATATTCTTGAAAAAAAAAAATCTCAATCGGTATTTCCTGATTGCATAAATATTTAAGTGTGTACATATATAATCACATATAAGATAGGGTTTCATATCTTGTCTTACTTTTTAAAAAATCATGGTAAACATGTACTTCTCTTTGTTTTCGTAGTGCTGATTTTGCTTCCATGATTGAAAGCTCTGTAAATCCACATGAAGTGCTGCATTTATCATTAGTATTCCGTTAGCAGTTCTGCAACCTAATGTAAACCTACAGTGATGGTTTTGTTTAAACTTAATGATGTAACTATACTATTAATTTCTCCCTACCCTGTTCAGGAAGGCACTGATTCCCAACCCAACTGCCCATACAGATTAAAATTTAAAAACTTTAAATTTACTCCAGCCCAGTTGGCAGCACAATCTTTCATTATTAAAATGACAACATGGCTTCTGTGGTTTTCCTGGGTTAGGAAAGAAATAACATACCAGTTCAAGAAAGGCAAACGAGCTCAGGCTTATATTTATGGTCATGCTTAGTACTCACAGAAATCAACAAAATAAATACCTGCTTATTTGCCTTTATTGCAATGGGGCCTTTTTTGTGAAGCTGCAATGATGTTTCTTTGCAGTGCTAGTTTATTCTGCTTATGTTTTCCAAATCATTACTACAGAAAGCCTTACTTCAAACCAGTTAAAGCAATTCAGGTTTTAGGGCTCCCAACATTATTCCCGTATGTTATAGGAAAGGCTTGGTTCTCACCTTATGCTCGTAAAAGGTATCAATAAGAGTAATGAAACGACGAGCTTGTGTCCTTTTTGCCATTGTAAGAAGTGGTATGTCACGAACAAAGACTGTGTCAAAATGCTTTGATATTTCCAAATAGTCACTGGCCCCAAGAGGCTGAAACAAAACAAACCATAAGAAGTGGAAGCCCATGACAGAATGATACATAAACACTGCATCTTGAAATACTACAATTACGAAAGAGAGAGTGTAAAGTCCTGATCATTTTTATTTTTTTTTCCCTGTATCTTGCTTCCAGAACATTTGTTTGCCCGTATTGACAAGTATACACCTCATTCATACTGTCAGCTTTACCTGAACAGCGTTCTATAGTTAAAAATTACTCTTCTGCATCCTCACAATGTTATGATCTCTCTGACAACCTCAAACAAAATAATCATTATAAACCATTATCCGCAGAAGAAAAGAAAAAAAAAAACATGGTTAAGCTACAAAGTCAACCTAAAGCACAAATAATTGGAACAGATATCAGGAGGCTTTCCAGCAGCAAGATTTTTAAACACAAATGCATAGGCTAGTTACTAAATCGTAAGTAGAACTGCATTTAGTTCACCTAAGACTCACCCACACTGAATAAAAATCTTACGCTTTAGGTACTGAAAGCAACACTAAACAGACAAAAATACAATTTTGTAGCAATTCCTTTGTTCGGGGTTTCACCTGTAATGATGAAATAAAAATCTATAATAAGAACTTATTAGTTTCTATTTGTGTATCTAAATGATCAACAGAAGATATGAACAAATAGTCATAGCTCATTCAAGTACACATTCAAATACATTAATTTAAAATTACTTTTTCTTTACATGGAACGTAATGTTTTCTGCAAGATTTACCCTATTAGTACTGCAGGCAATACTTAATAGCTCAAGATGAAGTCATTGCATTTAGAAGAAAGACTTCATACTCCTGAAACTCGTCCCATTAGTTTTATTTGTGGAAGTACTTCAGTATCTTGTATGCAACTACTCCACAGAGTAAGATCAGCAGCTTTTTGCACGATAATATCACAGCTCCCTTTCCAGCTAATGAAATGTGCTGTAGCAACAGTATAATATGGTTATAAAGCACTGCAATACTGCTAATATCTTAAAAACAGGAAATAAAAAAAAATATTTTCTCTAACTGAAATTGCTAGACAAATTTGCTGTAGGCCAAGCATAACTGCTTAACTAGAACCCTTAGGCAAGAAGTTATTTGGAACAATTATTAATGGCCGCCCATGACCAGGACATTCAAGTTATTTGGAACAATTATTAATGGCCACCCTTGACCAGGACATTTGGGTTTATTTAGACGCAAGAATGAAAAACCCACTGAAATGGTCTATACACACAGGAGAGTGAAACCCTGATGACATTCCAAAAATTCTTCTGAAAATTAATGGAAATAAGCTAGAGCTTCTCACCAGCTAACCCCACAGGCAGGTATTAAAGTTTCTGACTCAGGCAGTTCTCCCATTTGCAGCCTCATGAATCATCCTGCTTTCCCATTCACAACCACACAGCTTCCCTGTGGCATCTATGGAAAAGAGTTACTACAAAAACTTCCAAGTGTTTTTAGCAGTGTTTAAGAGCAGTATATACTATATCCTCTCCTCAAAGTTGTATATACTGTTTATTTTCTCCCTCCGTTTCAGGGCTCCAGCCACAATTATGAACTTCTTATCCAGAAACCAAGAAACTAATCATCATGAGGACCACCAGCAACAACTTCATTCATGACCTCTGGAAAAAAAAAAAAAAAACCAAAAAAAAAAACACAAAAAACCCTCACCTGAACAATGAGTAGTTGAACCTGAAATGTTTTGATGCAATAAGGCATGAAAAGGTTAAAGAAAGTGAAAGGCACTGGTGAATGGAAACATTACAGAGCTAGCCCACTGCATATCTCACCATCAGACACAAGTAACAGCCAGCTGGACACCAGTCATATCAAGTGCAAAAGAAAACAGTGGAAGCACTAAAAGCAACAAATACTAGGATGCTGCTGGGGATTTTAAGACTGGTGGTAAGCAAACGGTTTAGGTAACGGTAATTTTTATTCCATACTTAGAACAGAAGTACTGGGAAGTACAGAGAAGATCAAGTATGCCTGTGTGCTGAGTACCTGAAAGGGACAACAGCAGTGATATAATTACATGTGAGAAAGGAAATAATTTCTCGTGTCTTAGGTGAGAAATTACAGACATCACTGCTACTCAGGTTCATTCTTTTATCACATGAAGGACCCGAGCAGTCTTCTGCCGAAGCCCAAAACCCTGAGGAATCACTCTGTCTTGCACCAATATGATACACACTGTCACCCAAACCATATGAATACACCCTCCTCATTTCAAATACAAAGTATCAAATATTAAAAGCTGATTCCTAAAATAAATAAATAAATTCAAATTAAAGGTGTCAAACTTTTGCAAAACCCGCAAACTGAAGTGCCCAACCGCGGAGTTATACATCTAAGGCAGTTATACATCTAGGCACCTTGGTGGGTACTCAGACATGAAAATGAAAAGCCCGGGGAGTCGGAGGGAGGAAACAGGTAGAGGATAAAAATAAGGCTAATGCATTTCAAATGGGAAGAAGTAAGATGGAATACTTCTTTTGGTTTTCATACAGACATAAAGCCACAGTTCATAGAGGGTTACAATATGCATCCTTATCACAGACAAACAAGAATTCAATCTACTTCAGCAGTGCAAAAAGCAGGCAATTCAAAAATTCCTCTAATTAAGGACATAAAAGGCAGACCATTTCGAGCTGTTTAACAAGACCTTCTGAAACACCTACACCAGTGCTAAGTGATAGTATTCTGCAAACGTTGGCAGAAACATGCCTTTGGAGACTCCAAAAATCTTACGATCAGAAAGATTTGAGCCTAGCAGACATGAGTATTTTAATAGAGTAAGTTTGTACCTCCCTGCCAAGACTCAAGTCTGGTGAGACACAACTGAAACTCCGAGTGAGCCAGTCTGTTGTTATGTACGGTTCAGCTGGCATCAGCTGTAGTTCTTTACATAGAAAAGTTCTCAAACCCTCTCCTTTCAGAGTTTAGAAAGACATAACCCTGGTGATGAAGACAAAGCTTTTAATCTTGCTCTCCACATGACTTACTCTCATATTGGACAAGTCCTTTAATTTACTTCTGCCTTACTCTACTTACTGTGAAAAGAAGGAACAACCAGCAAATTTGCAAATGCTCCAGGGACAGTTTAAAGTCCTTTTTGTATTCCTCTAGTCTTGGTATTGGCCCAATTTCCATGATGCCTGCAATTGCTTCAAAGCTTTTTTAACTCACCAGCTACGCTCAAAATGCTCCTAACACAGGAGGACCGTGATGCAGGGGCACCCTGACAGCTTCTCAAGTCACATTCTCACTGCCCTGTTGCCCTTGCAAAACTGGCACGAGGCTGGCAGAAGCACCCATGTACCAACTCTTGTACCGCATAGGAAAGAGACAGGAAAAATGGGTTCAAGGCCAGATTACACCACTGCTAGAGATTCTGGCTGTACAGTCCTTTATATGGAAGCTCCACTGACTAGCAGCTTGCTGTTATTTCAGCAGCCAACAGCCCTCCCCTCCCCTTTACAGTATTGCCTACAGGCTCTTTTCCTTCACCTTGCAGCAAGTTACTGGCTGGGTCCTAACTGCCAACAATATAGGCTTGGGACAAGATGACTGGACTAGTGGCAAATGATTTCAGACGCTTACCACTGTCCTCTGTATAATCCTCTAAGGCTGAAATTTATTTTACAAATCTCACCCAGTCACAGAATGTATTCCATTTTAGTCAGCAGCATACACAAAGGTATTACTTCCTCTGAAGTTGCTAATGAAGCTACAAATCCTCCTAATATTGACACAAATATATATAATCCTCTTACTGAAAGTTTAGCCTGATTAATCTGGTCCTCTGAACAACATTCTAAAAATAACAACTTGATTTGGTGTGTGTTTCTGGTACTGTCTGATCTTTTTTTGTTTCATTAATTATTGATCAACACTCAACTTCAGAACCATAACACATTTATGTAACAATTGTCACTTATCATTTGTTACCAGTTCTTTCACGTGCTGCAATATTTATTTTTAAAAAATACCAAAAAGATAACAGATAAGAATCTTTCTTACCTGAATGTCTATACAAGGTATAACTGTTGTAGATTTTTGTCATTAACTCTGATGCCAGGAGTCAGTGTTTTATAGGCATCATACTAATGCAAAACGCATTAGCACTAACATGGGCTACCCTCCTGACAAAGTGTTTACTCCACTTCAGTCTGCTTGACTGAGTTCTCACCTTCATTTGGGTTTGTTTCTCTGTCTACTTAATGCATTTTCAGCTATCATCATCTCAGTTCAAGTAGGATGTTTATTATTTAGAGCTAACTGTTTTAAGAGTTAGTTGTCTCTTCTTTCTGTTATATATTCCATTTAATTAAAGTATAAAGCATCCTTCTTTGTTGACTCATCAATGACAAAGTAGCTCATCTTTTAGAGACTGTCTAGAGAATGCAGAATGCTTTACATATGTTAGAAAATGGTATTTCATCTCAAAAGAAAATTTATTTTTGTTTATGTTGGAAGATGTTCTAAGGCCAGTTCCAGTAACATCCCAAAGAGTTGTGATTCACAATAACTACAATTTAGTGCAGACACTCCAACACTTCCTAAAACCAAAATACAGTTTAAGACTAGATAATATTTGCAACTTACACATTAAGCAATAACCAAAAATTATAGCACCCCTTTCCAAAGGGGCCACACTCTGTCACTAGTAGGGCTGATAAAATAGAGCAGTGAGGTAATATTTCAAGAACATAATACAAGAAAGGAACATAAAAACCTAAGGCGTGATCTGTGATGCAGCTGCATGCTAAAGTTTAAATAAAAATGTACGATAGTTGGGGCATGGCTAACTTGGTTAAAAGATTTAAAGACACTGATGGCAGTGCAAATCTATTGGAAAGCTCTGTAAGTTACAGGCAAAGATGAGAAGTTCATTTGAAGCATTAATAATAAAATGAGAATTTAATGAAGAAGGCAATTTCTTATCAAGTTTTGCTGAAGGTTTCTGGTGGCAAGAAAAAAAAAAGAAG